CCAGGGCCTGCGCTGCCCAGCGTAGCCTCGCTGCCTGGCACTGGCCCCGCTGCTCCGGACCCCGCTGCAGCGCCCGACTCCGCCAGGAAGCCTGCTGAGCTGGCCCGCGCCTGGGGCGCGCGCGGCGATGCTGCGACGGCCCCGGCGTCAGCTCCGCCGAGAGGCGAGTCGGCGATCGCGAGGGCCGCGCCCATGCAACCCGTCTGCGGCGACCCCCCGACAGTGACGTTGCATCCTGCGTTCCGAATCGCCTGTGAGCGGCGCCCCCTCGACAACGTGACGCCCATCGAGCCGTGGGTCATGCGGGTCGCGATCCTGCAGGTGAGCGCGTAGATCATCTCCGGTTGAGCGCGCTGGGGCGGCCCCGATGGAGGTGTCCAGCCGCGCGGTTCGCCATGCGCGAGGTTCCAGATCTCGGGGTTCTGCTGCTGCAACTCCTGCACTTGATTCGGGTATACCATAACCTTACCCCAATGCGGCCGCTTCTGCCGGCCACGCAGTGCACGGACGTTGGTTTTGAGATCCTCCTTGATCTTCCCATGGCATTGCCTGTCCGTTGGCGACAGCTCGTCCACGTTAACGAAACGGGCGCCAAGGTACAAGCAGGACGCAATGTGGGTGTAGGAGGTCTCGTTGAGGTGCACCATCCCGAGCCGCTCGCACAGCCTCGCCACGGTGCTGATCACGATAGAGTACTGCGAAGCTTGGTCCGCCAAGGCACCCCAGAGTTCGCTAGGGAGGTAATTGTAGAACGTGTTGCACCCCTGCAATGCGCGGCCCCCCCACGCTGTTGCCGCTGCGAAAACGGCGTCCGCGACTCAGAGACTCTGGCCATGACGGTCCGCGCGATGGAGCGGCGCGCGTCATCGGAGAGCTCGATGGGACCTAGCAAACGCATGAAGTCAGCGCCTTCAGTGGTGGAGATTTGGCCAACGGCGCCGATGAGGGCTTCCAGGCTCTGCCCGAAGTTCAGGATGGCGTCTGGTTTATCGCTATCTGCAAGTTGAGAGAACGACGCTTGGTGAAACTCCACCCGCTCCCTCGCTTCTTGCAGGATGCGAGACATCGCGGCGGGCTTGCGTTTCCGAGAGTGCGCGGCCGCGAGTGCGCCGCGGGGCCGACTGCCAGCGCGGTCACTCGATTTCGCCAAAAGGCTGAAGGAAGATGGGGTTGGCGGAGGTTATACCTCCCAGCAAAAGGAAAACGGCGTCAAAGCGCTGCGGCCCGTGGACGTGCGCCCGACGCCGACGACGCCTTATGCCCCGAGACGCCCAAGGCCCAAAACGCCCAAGGGACCCACAGATATCCAAGGCAAGACGCCTGTCGGGCCCGCGACCCGAAACAGCCAATTCGTAGCAGCAAGAATGCCAACCGGTGGCCCCTGGACTCCCGAGCCTTTCGAAATCTCAAACTTCGCGTTCCTTTTTGGATAATGCAATATTCAATGATAATGCAGCAAGTTGGTGGCGCCAAGCCAACCAATTGGTGGCCCAAAACAAGTAACTGGTGGCCCCGTGCAGCCAGCTGGCGGCCCCGAAACAGCTTAGAAGTCCCAAGAATACCAATTCGTGGCCCCGAGTGGCCCCGAACCGGCCAAAGCGTGGCCCGCAACGGCCACTTAGGAGCGGGGTCTGTCAGAATCAGATTCGGCGACGGCCGATAAGGGGTCTGCCGAGTAGAGGGTCGGGGCGGACAATCGCAACCCCCTCGCTCCCCTCTCGTTTGCCGCGCTCTTGCTAGGGGCAAGGGTGGTCGGAAGGAGGGCGGGGGGGTTCGCGATCGCCCGGCCGCGGGGGCCCCTCGTCAGCGGCCAACCCCGCGCACGAGGGCGCGGTCGCGCGTGGCGCACGCATGGCGCAATACAAACGCATCGACGCACCGTTCGGGGCATCCTTCTCCTGTCCTTTCCTCCTCTCCTCCTCTTCCTCCTCCTCCTTGTCGCGGTCGTCGTCGTCGTCGTCCTCCTCCTCCTCCTCCCTCCTCCCTCCTCCCTCCACCCTCCTCGTCCTCGCTCCTCCCTCTTCCCTCCTGACTCCCCCCTCCCCCCTCCTCATCCTCCCTCCTTCCTCCTCCTTCCTCTTCCTCTGCCATCACACGCTGGCGCAACGTCGATGTTCGTTGCTGGGTTAAGTAGCTCTATATAAGGAGCTCCATCGAAGGCCCCATTGGCACGGATTGAATGCGCGACCGAAGGCCCCATGCAAGAACAGGAGAACAGCGCCAGCGCCAGTGCCGGGGGAGGAGGAGGAGGATGAGGAGAAGGAGGAGGAGGAGGAGGAGGGGGGGGGGGAGGAGGGGGAGGAGGAGGTGGACAAGGAGGAGGAGGAGGGAGGCAGGAGGAGGAGAGGAGGAGATACGGGTAGGAAGAGGAGGAATGGATCTAGGTAGTGAGATGCATCGAGCAGTGGGCAGTGCAACGTCTATACGTCAGTGTTTTTTGGCAGCGCAGATTGTGAGCTCACACTCACCATGCGCCAGGTGTTCGTGAAAACAAACTGTCCCGCATACGGGGTCGAACTGTAGCATCATGCAAGCTTAGCGCAAGTGTCCTTCCTGTCATCTTGATCCTCCTTCTCCTTATCTCCCTCCTCATCCACTCTCATCCCTCCTCGACCTTCCTCCTACTTGCAGCCGTAGAGGCCGAGGGATTATAGCGCCTGAAACCTAAAAAGGCGGCTGGCTGCCCTCGGCGCGCGCGACGGGGACGAGGTCGGGCGGCAAGCTCGCTGGCGCCTGGCTGCTCCCAGCACGATCGGGCGGCCTGCTGCCCGTGATATCCATGCCGAACTTCTGCAGCACAAGGTCGCCAAATTTGGCCCCCTGAGAAAGCTGGCGCTGCACGGCGCCGGGGGGCTCAGCGGGGAAAAAAGGGTTGAGACATGTCCGCGAACTTACTCTCCAAAGGCTCGCGCTGCATGTCGCCGGGGACCTCAGAAGACGCGCGGCCGTCGGCGCCCCCGACAGGCTGCGAGCTTTTCGGCTGCAAGGGCGCAACGGGGGCCGCGGGGAGCTCGAAAGAAGGCGCGGCCCTCGTCTCTGCAGGCGCGGGCGTCACAGGGCTGCCGATCGGGTCCTTTGGCTGGCGGGCGTTCTCTGTTGCTTGGCCGCCCGCGCCAGCTGGCGCCGCTGGCCAAGACGACCGACGGAAATATGAAGTGCCAGCCGCATGCGCCTCCGCGACTGTCGGGGTCGGGGCCGCGCGGCATTGCGACTTCGCCGCCTGTTGAGCGCCTGGATCTTCATCCCGGAGCCGCTTGAGGAGCTCCCGCTGCTCCGATTGCGAGTCGGGCGCCGAACGGCTCAATTCGATTATTATCGGGAGTTTGCCGACGACCTCCCGATGATATCCGCGCGGGAGTTCGGGCAGTGATACCCGCGTCCGCGGGCGCTTATCCATCTGGGCCATAAGGAAGAAGCGCGCTCTTGAACGGAAGTGGTTCGATCTAGACGCACTGAGCCTAGACGGCGGCAAGACAATGCGCCCAAGACGACCCAATAAGCTTACAACGACCCAACAGGCTGAACTTTAGCAGCGCTGAGAACTGCGCCCGTTGCGCGCGGCGCCTCGCATCCTCCTGCCCCCCCATCCTCCTCCTACATCCTCTTCCTCCTCCTCCTCCTCCTCGTCCTCCTCCTCCTCCTCTTCCTCAACCTCTTCATCCTCCTCCTGCTCCACATCATCATTATCAGCATCACCACCCATTCCCCCTTCTTCGAAACACTCGCACCCACTTAGACTTCCCCCACTCCTCCTCATCATACTCGTACTCCTTCTCGTGCTCGTCATCGTCATCCTCCTGTTTGTGTTCTTGAACCCCCTCGACATCTCCTCCCCCTTCTCCCCCTCCTCCTTCCTCAACCCTCTTCCTACTCCACCACCTCCTCCTCCTCTTCTCCCTCCTTCCCTCCTCCTCATCTTCCTTCTCCTCATCTTCCTTCCCCTCCTCCTTCTCCTCCTCCTCCTTCTCCTCCTCTTCCCTCTCCCTGTCCTCCTCCGTTTTCCTCCTCCTCCTGCTTCCCTTGCAGTCTCCCCCTCCTCCTCCTCCTCCTCCTCCTCTTCCTCCTCCTCCTCCTCAGCCTTCTCTCCTTATTCGATACCGCGATACCTATAGGGTGGAGGGGCAGCAAAGGGGGTGGGCTTGCATGATCTCGCCAATTCCCACGTACCCCTCACACGGATCGCGGAGGTAATGCTTTAGAGTTGATGCACCTTGGCGGAAGTAAGATCTCACAGGGATCTGAAGCTGACGGAATTTGGCGGAAGCAAAGCTTACATGTCAACCTATCGTTGCCCACGCGGACAAACGCGAGTGAGAAATCAATATGACAGTTGACGGAAGATGCAGGAAGCAAGCGCGTTCGAAACGCCTCGATGCCTGGAACCCGCAGGCCCCTGCAAGACGGCGAAGGACCCCCTTAGACGCCCAGAATCGCTAGATCTCTGAATCGCGTAAGACCTTGAGACGCCCAACGCCTCAATGCGCCGCAGCACGCCTTCACCGATAACAGTGCACAGCTGCAGAACTACGCCACGTGGCACATAATAAACACAAACACCGAGCAACCACGCACCACAGCAGCATACTATAAGATCAGCAGTAATCACACAGCCCACATCAACAGCACCGAGTCACACATCACACATCAGCAGAGAAACGGAGGAGGACGATGAGAAAAAGGAGGAGGTTGAAAGGCACCAAGACGCTCCTATGGCCTCCTTAGGCCACCATGTGCACCCAAGACGCCTCACCCCTAGACACCTGAAGGCCTAGGCGCCTGAGGGACCAGAGGAACACCTGAGGGACACCTGAGGGCATCTGAGGGCACCTGAGGTGCACCTAAGGGCTGCAGAAGGCCTGAGGGACACCTGAAGGCACCTGAGGGCCACCTGAGGGCACCTAAGGGCACCATGAGGGACACCTGAGAGACACCTGAGGACACCAAAGGGCACCTGAAGGCCACCTGAGGGCACCTAAGGGCACCTGAGGCCCGAGGGCACCTAAGGGCACCTGAGGGACACCTGAAGGCACCTGAGGGGCACCTGAGGATCAGTTTGGGCGCTCTGCAGGGGCTGCAGCGTTGGATATCTGCTGGAAGCTCAATCCTCCACGAACGCCTCGAGCACCGAAGTCTTCTTGGAGAGCTGCTTCTTGTTCTCCTCAGCCCCCTCGAGGATCTCCTTCACGATCGATGGCAGGGCCATGCCGTCGAAGAGTGCCTTTTCAATGCGCCCCCGCTCGGACCTGATATCATCCGCAACCTTGTTAGCCTCAATCATGACCTTCTCTGGGACCTCAGAATTGTTCTGGCCGAGTGAGATAACTTTCTCGAGCTCAAACATGCCCTCATTGAAAACAGTCTGAGGTTTCTCCAACTTCTTCTTCTCGGCCGCCCTGAGCGGTTTCGTCTGTTCCGTGTCATCGTCGCCCTCATGCTTGCTGGCCGCCGGGCGCTTCAACTTCTTGCCTTTCACCTTCGACTCCTGCTCGATAGTGCGTTTCTGGCGCTGCTCTTGGATTTCTTCCTGATCTTTGGAGATGGCATACGAAGACTCCCAGATCCATTCGCGACCTGTGTATTGGCATTTGTGGCGTACCCCCTTGTCCGGGGGCATCCTGAGGGCGCCCTTTTCCTCGTCGTCGGTCTCCGCGGCCAACCGCTTCTCGACGTCTCTAACGAGCTTCATGTCGCCGCCCATGCTGGATTTAGAAGTGCAACGCTGGCTGGGAACTTGCTGCGCCTCCTCAGTCACGACTTTGACGAGCGCGTCGTCGAACAGGCTATGGCACTTCTGAATCAAGCTCTTCCGCTGGTCCTGCGAAAGTTTCTTAATGCCCTCTGCTATGAACTCGTTCGTGTTGCACAACCGCTTGATGCGAGAATTGGCCGCATTGCATGGTTTGCAGATCCAAGATGCTGGCGCGCCTTCCTTCTTGGCTTCGCGCATCTTAGTCATCAAATGCTCTTCCTTCTCTTCGCGGCACTGGTAGCACGCGTGCGATTTCCCCGCGCTCTCCTTTTTCTCGGTCGGATCGTCGACTTCGAAGACCTAACTCTCCGAGAAAGGCCTCATCATTCTTGCCATGGCTCTTCTTGGTGTCCAGCGCCTCCGAGCTCTTCTCCTGCCTGGGCCCCGCCTCGGCCCCCTCGGCCGCCGCGTCGGGGAGGTCCGCGGGGGGGAGCTCCGCGCGGGCCTGCGCGGCCGAGGCCGACCTTGCCGCCAGCGCGGCTGCCGCGGCGCCCTTGCCAGGGGGCGGCGCGGCCGAGGCCGAAGCAGGCGCCGGCGTAGGAGTCATGCGCAGCGGAAGCGGGAGAGCAGTCTCACCGCAGATGCGTCGAGAGCTAATTGCAGGCATCGTATATCCGAGCCAAACTCTGCAGGTTCATCGCGGGCCTTTGTTGGCCTGTCTTCGAAGCGTCTCGGAGCCCTCGCGGGGCCCTCGCGCAAGCCCCAGGGTGCCCCAAGACACCTCAGACAAAGGCCCCAAAACGCTTGAGGACCTGAAAAGCCCTGGGCCCCAGAACCCTGGGCCCTGAGAGGCCCTGGACCTCTTGAGAGGCAGAACGCGTTGGGCATCTTATAGATCAGGCCCCCTTTGAAGTAGCCGAGACACAGACCGCTTTGGGCATCTTGAGTTGCCCCTGTGAAGTAGCCGTCCACTCAAAATACAGGAAGAACGCTTTGCGCATCTTAAATCAAGCCCTCTTTGAAGGAGCCGAGACCGAGAGCGCATTCGGCATCTTAAATTCAGCCTCTTTGAAGTAGCCGACCAGTCAAAATAGAGGCAGAACACGTTGGGCATCTTGGAGATGAGGGTTCCAATATAGACGCTTGGGGCCTTCGGTGGAGCTCACGATGGGGTCACGAAGCGTGTGAAGGGGTGTGCCGACATATGGATGTGGTGGATGCGGGCGCAGGCGCTGGGGCCTTGGGTGGAGCTCCCTAATATGGGGCCACGAAACGTGTGACGGGTGTGCCGAAATGGGCGTGGTGGACGCACGTGGGCGCGGTGGCCTTTGGTGGAGCTCCCGGGGCCACGAAACGTGTGAGGCGCGTGCCGAAATGGGCGCGGTGGACGCATGCGGGCGCAGGCACTTCGGTGGAGTTCCTTGCGGGGCCACGAAACGTGTGAGGGGTGTGCCGACATGGGCGTGGTTGACGCCCGGGGGCGCAAGCGCGCGGGGCTTTCGGTGGGGCCGCGAAACGTGTGACAATGTGGTGGGCGAAGAGGAAGCGGAGGAGGAGAAGGAAGAGGAGGAAGACGCAGGAGGACGAGCAGGACGGGGGGCGGGCAGGAAGACGCAGGAGCACACGCCCACCCACACGCCCACCCACACGCACACGCACACCCACACCCACACCCACACCCCACACCCCACACCCCACACCCCACACCCCACACCCCACACCCATACCCATCACCCATCACCCTGCACCCAGCACCCATCACCCAACCCAGCCACCACCCACCCACACCCACCCACACCAAGCCACCACCCAGCCACCACCCAGCCACCACCCACCCACCACCCACCCACCTCCCACCCACCACCCACCCACCACCCACCCACCTCCCACCCACCACCCACCCACCACCACCCACCACCCAGCCACCCACCACCCACACCCAACCACCCAACCACCACCCACACCACCCACCACCCACCCACCGCCCCACCACCACCCACCCACCACCCACCCACCACCCACCCACCACCCACCCACCACCCACACCACCCCCACCCAACCCACCACCCACCCACACCCACCCACCCACCACACCCACCCACCACCCACCCACCACCACCACCACCACCACCCACCCACCACCACCCACCACCACCCACCACCACCACTCCATGAAAAGCACCACCCGCCACCACCCATCCACCACCCAACCGCCCACCCACCACCAAACCACTCACCCACCACCCGCCCACCCACCCAGCCCCCCCCCCCCCCCCCCCCCCCCCCACCCACCCCCACCCCCACCCCCCACCCCCACCACCACCCACCCACCCCACCCACCACCCACCCACACCCACCCACCACCCACCCACCACCCACCCACCCACCACCACACCCACCACCCACCCCCCAACCCGCGACACGGAGGGGGGTGACCCACCCACTCCCACACCCACACCCACACCACCCGCACCCACACCACACCCACACCACCCACACCCACACAGCCACACCCACGCCCACGCCCACGCCCACGCCCCACCCCACGCCGACGCCACCCCACCCCCACCCCCACCCCCCCCCACCCCCCCCCCCACCACCCCCCCCCCACCCACCCACCCACCCCCCACCCACCCACCACCCACCACCCCCCACCACCCACCCACCACCCACCCACCACCCACCACCCACCCGTTCCTCGAAACACCCGTTCCTCGAAACATTCGCGCACACTTTCAGGTGTCTCCTCCTCCTCCCCCTCCTCCTCCTCGGCGTCCTTTTGAATAGGTATGCGATGTGGCTTGCTTACAAATGTTCCAGCGAATGTTGTGGTTGCAACGGTCTATAAGGCAAGGGGGAGCCGTACAAAACATGCACACTGCGTGCAGAGGCCTGAGCCTAGATAACTTCGCACAGCCCCAGCTGGCTTCCGAATAAACGGTGTTGGCACGACAACGAAAATTTAAACGACGGTTCGCGACACTGCGCGGCCACCATCCAACACAACAACAACACCTACGCAACGTTGGGGAGGAGGAGGGGCGGGGGCAGGCGGTGGGGGGTGGGGGGGGTCTAAGAGGCGAGGGGGGACGGAGGAGGATGATGGGGCCACGAAGCGTGTGAAAGGTGTGCCCAAATTAAAATTTTTTAAATCGCCGACGCATGCGCCTGGTGCCGCGCGTGGCCTTCGGTGGAGCTCCGTGCGGGGCCACGACAGTGTGGTGGTAGCGCCGGAATGAGAGCCGCTGACGCATGCAACTTGCGCCGCGCGTGGCTTCAATGGAGCGCCCCACGGGGCCGCTAACCGCGCGGCGGCCCAGGCGCCCAGACAGACCAGACGGCCCACGCACCAGACACGGTCCGGGCCGTCTGGGCCGTCTGGACCCTCTGGGCCGTCTGGGCCGTCTGGGCCGTCTGGGCCGTCTGGGCCGTCTGGGCCGCTTGGGCCGCCTGGGCCGTCTGGGCCGTCTGGGCCGTCTGGGCCGTCTGGGCCGCCTGGCCGCCTGGGCCGTCTGGGCCGCCTGGGCCGTCTGGGCCGTCTGGGCCGTCTGGGCCCTCTGCGTCGTCTGCGCCGTCTGCGCCGTCTGCGCCGTCTGCGCCGTCTGGGCAATCTGGGCCGTCTGGGCCGTCTGGGCCGTCTGGGCCGTCTGGGCCGCCTGGGCCGTCTGGGCCGTCTGGGCTGTCTGGGCCCTCTGCGCCGTCTGCGCCGTCTGGGCCGTCTGGGCCGTCTGGGCCGTCTGGGCTGTCTGGGCTGTCTGGGCCGTCTGGGCCGTCTGGGCCGTCTGGGCCGTCTGGGCTGTCTGGGCCCTCTGCGCCGTCTGCGCCGTCTGCGCCGTCTGCGTCGTCTGCGCCGCCTGGGCCGTCTGGGCCGTCTGGGCCGTCTGGGCCGTCTGGGCCGTCTGGGCCGTCTGGGCCGTCTGGGCCGTCTGGGCCGTTTGGGCCGTTTGGGCCCAGACGGCCCAAGTAGCCCAGACAACCCAGGCACACAGACGGCCCAGACGCACAGACAGCCCAGACAGCCGATGGGCCGGCCGTCTGTGCGTCTGGGCCGTCTGAGCTGTGTCGGCTGTCTCGGCGGCTGCGTCTGGGCCGTCTCGGCTGTCTGGGCCGTCTGCGCTGTCTGCGGCAGCGGCTGCGGCTGCAGCGGCGGCGGCGGCGGCAGCTGTCTGGTCCGTCTGGGCTGTCTGGGCCGTCTGGGCTGGGCTGTCTGGGCCGTCTGTGCGTCTGGCGGCTGCGCCTGGGCCGTCTGGGCTGTCTGGGCCGTCTGGGCTGTCTGCGGCGGCGGCTGCGGCTGCAGCGGCGGCGGCGGCTGTCTGGGCTGTCTGGTCTGTCTCGGCTGTCTGTGCGTCTGGGCTGGGCTGTCTGGGCCGTCTGTGCGTCTGGGCTGTCTCGGCGGCTGCGTCTGGGCTGCCTGCGGCGGCGACGGCGGCTGCGGCTGCGGCTGTCTGGTCTGTCGGGGGCGTCTGGGCTGTCTGGGCCGTCTGGGCTGTCTGCGGCGGCTGCAGCAGCAGCGGCGGCTGTCTGGGCCGTCTGGGTGGTCTGGGCCGTCTGGGCTGTCTGGGTCGTCTGCGGCGGCGGCGGCTCCTGGGCCGCTCTCGCCGTCTGGGCGGCGGCGGTGGCGGCGGCGGTCTGCTGGGCCGTTTGCGCCACCTGCGCCGTGTGGGTTGCATGGGCCACGCGGGCCGTCTGAGCTGTCTTGGCAGTGCGGGCCGTCTGGCTGGGCCGTCTGGGCTGCGTGGGCCGTCTGAGCCGTCTATAGGCCGCGCCGCTGGGCTGCCTGTGAGCCGTCTGGAGCGCGCGGGCCGTTCCAGCTTTCAAAGCTATCTGGATCGCGCAGGCCGTTTCAGTTTCGTGCGCCACGGCGATCGGCGGCGCTCATTTCGACACACCAATCACACGTTTCGAGGTCCCTCTGGCACACCCGCGAATGCAGTGGCTGAGCTCGCATGCGCTCGCGGCACCAATTTCGGTGCGCCCCTCATACGTTTCGTGTGGAAGCTCCACCGAAGGTCGTGGCAGAGTTCGCATGGTTCCGCGGCGCGCTTTTCAGCGCACCTCTCATGACATGCATTTTCCTGTTTTCAAGCCACATCCTTCCAGTGCGTCAGTGCGCGCACTGCTGAACGTCTTCAAGCACATCCCATGCCACTCGAAGGGCGGTTGCTCAAGTTCGACAAGGCGAACGCCGGTAACACGTGAAACATGACGGCTAAAAACCATTGCTGCACAAAGCTGCGCAAGCACAAACAATCCTTCGCAATAGCGCGTGCACAACGTATTGTGTGAGCGCCATGTGATTAGACTGCGTGCGAAATGGATGGTGGTCGTCGGGTTTCGTCGTCGTCGTTTCCACCGAACGTGGCCCCAATAGGGGGCTCCACCGACGGCAGTGGCAGGGTTCGCATGCGCCCCAAACGGCAGGGTTCGCACGCGTCCGCCTTTCTCATGTCGGCACCCCCGTCACACGCTCCGTGGGTATAGGGCGCTCCACCGAAGGCGGCAAGGTTCTCCTCTTCCTCC